TGTGTGGCCACTGCAGCGAATTATCGAACCCAGGAGAGAGGTGGTGGGTGCTTTGGGAGGAACGGTTGGAGAAAGGGTTGGAGGGAGGCAGCATGTCTGGCCTTGTAGGAATAGGCCTTGGGTTATTGATGATGACTCTGTCTTCCTCTTGTGGGGTTCTAGGAGGTCAGAACATGTGGCCTGCTTGCCGTTTTTGCACCATACCAGGTATCAAAACCAACTACACAGCTAAAATAATTAAAACCATGTAGTATTAGCACAGGATACACAAAAAGGCTAATGGCACAGAATAGAGTATGACAGAATATGATAAAGGTGAAGTTTTAAATTATTTTGAAAAGAATGCTGGCTGAACAACTGGCCATCAATTTGGACAAAAACTAAAATTAGACATATCTACTTCACACTTTCCCACAAAATAAATAAACTTCAGATAGATGAAAAATCTACCCATAAAATCAGAAAATTATAAGTATTCAAATAAAATGAAAAAGACTATATTTATAAAATTGGAATAGGGAAGGCCTGATTCTAAGATTTTAAAATTAAAAAAAGAGAAAGATTAAAAGAGAAGTGACAGAATAGGAGAAAATACCTACAAAATAAATAACAATTAGTATATAGAATATGTGAAAGACTTTTTATAAATAAACAAGATAAAAATTTAAAAATGAGCAAAAGACAAGAACAGGCAATTCACAGAAAGCAAGAAATCAATAAATAGGAAAGAAAATAACTCATCTCACCAATACTCACAGAAATCAAACTGAAACAAAGATAACATTTTTCATGCATCAGATTGGCAAAAATATAAAAATTTGATAATATCAAGGATTAGGATAAATGTGAGAGAACAGTTAAGTTAAAATAGTGCTGGAAGAAATATAAAGAAGTACGGCATTTCTGGAGAGCAATTTGGCAGATGTACACGTGCTTTGATCCAACAATTCTACTTCTCTCTTGGAGCCAAATTCATACAAACATATAAAGAGGCCAATTCAAGGATTTTCTTGGCAGGAATTTTTGTAATGGGAAAAAAAAAAAAAAAAAAAAAAACCTGAAACAACCTAAATGTGATGATAAGGCAATGATAAGAAAAACTAATAGATGGATGTATAGAATTCCATGCAACAGCTTAAAAGGATGAGGTGGGCTCCTCTGTCCTAACATAATGAGTCTTTAGAGCTTTTCTAAATATAAACAGTAATAATAAATTGTAAGAATTTACGTTTTAAAGAAAATACATATCAACCAATGACAGCAAATTACCCTCTGGGGAAGAATCTGAAGTACGAAGAAGTGTTCAAGGGGGTCTTGCACTTTACCATCTGAATCATTTACAAGAATATATTCATTTATATTTAAAAGTTTTTAATGAAAAAAAAAGTAACATATTGTGTTACTTGTGGTGTAGTAAATTACATAGTGTGGCTTTTCTAGCCTTAAGTCTTTGTAAACTCCTTGGTGGAATTTGCCATGAGCAACTGAGTAGCTCCTGATTGCTAAAGTTATCCCACCTCATGTATTTCTGTTGAGAATGGCACAAAGCAATCTTATGGAAAGTTCTCTTTCTCTCAGGTGTATAGAATTCTAATAATGGGATTGGTTAGTTTGGCCACTCTGCCAGGCTCAAAAGGAACTCTCCAGGAGGCAGAAGGAATCTCTGACAGCTGAGGGACATGAGAGACATGCATTGCTGAGAAAGAGATGTGAGAGACACACACTGCTGAGAGAGACACCAATAGACACACACTGCTGAGAGAGAGAGAGAGACTGAGAGACACGCACTGCTAAGAGAGAGACTGAGACAGACTGTTGGCTGAGAGACTGTTGGCTGAAAGACAGCAGGCTGAGAGAGACCGAGCACATTCCTGAACTTGAATTGTAGCCTATTGCTTCCCTAATAAACCCCATAATCTGTGAGTTCTGCCACTGCAGCAAATTATCAAACCCAGCAGAGAGGTGGTGGGTGATGCAGGAAGAATGGTTGGTGAACGGGCTAGAGGGAGGCAGCATGTCTGGCCTCCCAGGAATAGGCCTTGGGCTACTGATGGTGATTCTGTCTTCCTCCTGTGGGGTTAGAGGAGGTCGAAGACGCAGTCTCCCTGCCCCTTTAGCAACATTCTTGTTGTAAATGAACAAACAAAAATACACACAAAAAAAATGTATTTAAAGGGAGGACACCGAATTGTGCACATAAGAGAAAGACAACAGATGCTAATACCAACCAGTGTGCCCACAATACTGCATTACCATTAACACCAAACACCAGGCTACAGATAAATGCATAAACACCTAAGAGGATCAGATGGGGGTCAGTGAACAGGAGTATACTGTAGACTAAGGATAGATTCACCTGAGGCTAATTTTGCACCAATGATACATAGTAACTGCAATTCTTACAGAAACAATAGAAGACAGACACAGAGTAATTCCTTACAGACACCTAGACACTATGGGAGAGAAATTCAATAGATCTACCATCTCAGGACCATAGTACTGAGGGACACCAGTCTCAATTGGTACAACAAAATACATAAAAGCCTTGCTCCGCATCCTACACTGGTGAGTAGCGACTGGGGTCTTAAAAGCTTTCAAGTGGCCATCTAAGATGCATTTAATGGTCTCCTAGCATCGGAAGTGAAGAAGAGTGCAAAAAACCAAAGACATTTGAAAGCACTCAGCCCTAGGACATGATGGCTGAGACCAGAACTAGATGGTGCCCAGCTACCAATGCCAACCACTCAAGAAAGGATCAAATCTGGAGATCCTGGATAGAGTGGGAGGAAAAACGTGGAACATAATAAAAAAAACTCAATAATGACTAGAATTACTGGTCAGATAGAGTTTGATAACACGCCTAATACTATGGCCCTGGGATACATTTTAGGCCTCAAATAAAACTCACTCCCAGGGGCTGGCTCTCAGCCCAATAGTTAACAAGATGTACATGCAGACCACTCAACTCAGGATGATGCACCCACATAGTCTATGGTAATACATCCCTTAGAGCAATAGACCACGGGGCATCAGAGGGGCAACATTCACACGGAGATAATGCAGGACAAACAGAAGTACATAACTATGAAGGGCACAGGGGGAGGGTTACTGGGCAGGGAGGGGAGGAGAATGGGTTAGGGTTAGGCACGGTAAATGGGGAGTGAAACTAAATGTACACGTAACGTTGAATGTAAAACAAACTTAAAATAAAAAATAAAATTAAAAAAAGAATATACACAGCACAAAAAAAAGTATTTAAAGTAGACAGGGAACATATTCCTCAGTCCAATCTCTCTCAACACTGAGAAGAATCCAGCTAATTTCAATAGTTTGGGGTATATCCTATGAAATATTTCCCTTTATTACTTAAAACTTACATATATGCAAACAAATGAGCATTTCATATACATGTATAGACATACATATCTGTGCACATGTCATATATGTATGGCTGTACTTACATGCACACACACATGAATATATAAACACATGAACATATGCCTATATGATTATACCATGGCAAAAATTACATATAATAGGATAAACAGGTCAATTGTGTCATATCAAATAAAAGAAAAATTACTTAGCTATTCCAAACAGTGGGTTTGTGAGTTGGGATTTGGGTAAAAGTATTGTGGCAAGGGTGATATTTTCCCTTGTATTATTAAAATATTCTATAATGATAATATATTGTATAATGTCAATAAAGCCTTTTTAAAAAACAAAAATCAAATGAGAGAATGTCTTCTGGAAAAAAACATCAAGAATATAAAGTGCTGAACAACACTAATGGCAAAGTTCAACAAGACAGAAAATGGCAGACACTGGTGAGGATGTGGAAAGATTGGGACTCTCATCCACTGCTGATGGGACTGTAAAATGATATAACCACTGCGGAAAACAGTACGGTGATTCCTTAAAAAGATGGAAGTAGAAAAACCATTTGACCCAGCAATCCCATTACTACGTATATATCCTAAAGAAGTGAGAACCATGACAAGAACAGATACATGCATACCCATGTTCATTGCAGGACTGTTTATAATAGCAAAAAGATGGAAACAACCTACATGCACATCAACAAAAGAATGCATAACCAAACTGTGGTACATACACACAATGGAATACTATACAAACCTAAAGAATAATGTAGAATCTGCAAAACACCGCATAACATGGATGAACTTGGAGGACATTATGCTGAGTGAAAGAAGTCTATCACAGATGGACAAATATAGTATTAGTTCATTATTGTAAAAAGTCAAGGAAAGGTTTATATATGGAAGGGAACTTTCTTTGTTGGTTAAGGCGGGGGGAGAAGGGAGGGAACACTGCAAAAAAAAATGCATTGATACATAACACTTTAGTTTTGTGTATTTTACTGTACATAAATTATATTTCAATAAAATACATTTTTAAAAAGAATATAAAGTGCTAGACAAATACAAGGCTTCACAATTGTTAGCACACGCAGACAATATGAAAAGCTCACATTTCATATATGATCACTTACCAATTCCACTGTCATCTAATCGCATGTAGCCTTCTGCCAGTGAGCTGAAGCCAGTTAATCCTCCCATTGCTGCATACGGAACATCCTGTCCTACTGGTTTTCGTTGAGCCAGTCTTTCTTGCTTAGTTTCCACTACTGTGTCATGGGTATATGCAGGCTGACCACAAGCACAAGTGAAGCTGCTATGAAATCCTGAACACTTGGAACCTGATCAAGATGTAGTGAATTAATTTTTTAAAACATAGGTACAGATCTGTCTTCTCTAAAGAGTCCTGGCTTTTCCAAAGCCACTGGAAGGGTCCTTGATGCTCTGTCCTCTGTAACTCTTACTCCCAGCCCCTGAACTCACTCAGCCACTGCTCTCACTTCTGAAAGTTACAAAATAGTAAGGGGGCTAGGTGACAGAAAAAATATACATGTATTAGAAAAAACAATTAGGATTAAAAGCAGTTGAGTTAACCATTGAAAAGCCTCCCTGGAAATCCAGGATCTCTCCTCAAATACTGAGTTAGAAGTAGGTGTGGCAAGGATGATAGCCCAGTGGCCAGGACCAGGAGAAGAAACAACATGAAAACCTCCCTACAGGTCAACTCCCCATAAAAGCCATATTGGAAGGCAAACCCATAGAGACAGACAGCATGCAATGGACTACTGTTTAGGAATAAAAAGGAAAGATACTAATATATGCTACCAAATGGATGACTCTTGAAAGCATCATGCTAAGAAATTCAGTCAGACACAAAAGGACAAATATTGTATGATGCCACTAGTATGATGTATCTAAAACAGGTAAATCCATAGAGACCAAAGTTTATTAGTGGTAAACAGAGTCTGAAAGGAGGAAGAAGTAGAGTTATTGTTTAAGGGGTACTGAGTTTCTATTTGGAGTGATAAAAACTTTTGGAAATAGATAGTGGTAATGGTTGTACAACATGGCAAATGTAACCAATGTCATTGAATTAATAGTATACTTAAAAATGGTTAAAATGACAAATTTTTTGCTATACATATTTTGCCATAATAAAAGTTTTTTAATTGGTTCAAATAAATTGTCATGTTATAATTGGTTTGCCTGTGTTTTAGGCCATAATAAAATAATCTACCAATAAATTATAAAAAAATTTTTGGATTATAGAATGCTTATCAAGAACCTATAAATAGAATTTAGTTGATTAAGTCCTACTACTCAAAAATTTCAATCATATTTAGTGATTATTTAAAATCAATTACTATTACTTGAATTATTTGACTCACAGGCAGTCTTAGATTACTGTCTGACTTGTTGTTGTTGTTCTTCTTCTTCTTGTTATGTGCTGTGGAGTGGGACAACTCATACTTGGCCTTTAATATTATGTAAACTTGCCCTCACCTTGAAACAACTGAACCAACCCCTACTGACAACAAATTCTTCCTCAAAATCACCTTTACTTGCTGTACCTGCAGCTTTTAATCACTGAAAAGGTTTCTAGTCTTTTCTTGGAAAAAGTAAGGCTAAACATGAATTGTATGCACTATTCTGACTGACTTATAAAATCTTAGACACAGGAACAGAGCTTGTTCGTAACCCAGGGAGCATGTGAACGTGAGATGTGTTGTTGTTATGGGCTATGGGGTCAACTCTGACTCATAGTAACCCTACAGGACAGAGCAGAACTGGCCAGTAGGATTTCCTAGGTTGTAATTTTTAAGGAAGCAGATCACCAAGTCTTTTCTCCTGAGGAGTAGCTGGTGGATTTGAACCACCAACCTTTCTGTTAGCAGCCAATCGCTTAACCATTAAGTCATTATAAATAAAAAGCATACAAACAACTGTTTTTCCACAAAAATAAAATTCAAGAGGATTTATCTATTGAATTTTTCTTAGGTGTTTAATACTGACTCTAACACTGAATCAAACTGGTACAAAGGCACAGTTAAATATTAAAGAAATAATAAAAACACTAAGCTGTGTGTTCTTAAAAATGTAACTCACATGCAGTGCACATAAAGCCAGGTCCAGCATTGTGCTGATCAGCAAAGTGCTTGCATCTGCAGCGAATGGGCTGTGTACCATTCAAAGGGATATACAGGTAAGCCCTGCACTGGCAGCCAGGCACTCGGCAAGGCAGACTGATGGGGCGCTGCTGTGGTATCGTTTCAAAGTCAGTTTTATGTTGTTTATACCTAAAAAAATGAAAGGGAATTAATATAAACATAATGCGGGTAGTGCCAAAAATTACAATTTCTTACCTGTTAAATGTAAATACGAGTTCTCAAATGCAAATATTATTCTTTTTCATTTTTATTTTGTTTCCTTATTCTTGTTTACAAGTTACCATTGAGTAGACTAGACTCATAGCCACCACATGTATGTCAGAATAGAACTGCACTCCGTAGGGTATTCAATGGCTGATTTTTCAGAAGTAAATCACCAGGACTTTCTTCCAAGGTGCCTCTGGTTAGACTTAAGCACATTAACAGTTTGCACCCCCTACCCATTACGATCAAGTCAATTCCAATTCACAGTGACCCTACAGGACTGAGTAGAACTGCCCCATATGGTTTCCAAGGCTCTATATCTTTACAAAAGCAGACTGCTGGCCTGAACAGCAGAAGCAGCCCAAGAGCTCGTGTCCAGAGCCACATCCTCTGCTTCACCTGCCTGTATCCCACCAGTGGTCTAGTGCTGCAAGAGTCTAGGTTTGGGGCTTTAAAACCACTACAGGGAAATAATAAACAAAAGGAGTGTTCATTTCCCTGAAAAAGAAAAAAAAAAAAATCTTATGGGACCATGGAGGTATACTGCCCAAACTGACAACATTAAGCTACCTGTATTCCCAATTTTTCTTAATATCCATGTATATAATGGGGAAAAAAATAGTTTGGGCAGAGATCTCACTAAATGACCAATACTAAAGAAAATGTCCTCCATTGAAATTGGGTTAGACCAATTTTGAGGGTCTGTTGTTGTTGTTGTTAGGTGCTATCTAGTTGTCTCTGACTCATAGCGACCCTATGCACAGCAGAATGAAACACCACCCGGTCCTGAGCCAGCTCTATGATTCCTGATATACTTGAGCACATCACCGCTGCCACCATGTCAATCCATCTCGTTGAGGGCCTTCCCCTCTTTCATCGACCCTCCACCTTACCAAGCATGACATCCTTCTCCATGGAATGGTCCCTTATTACAACATGACCAAAGTATGTGAGACGAAGTCTGGCCATTCTCGACTCCAAGGAGCATTCTGGCTGCACTTCCTCCAGGACAGACCTGTTAGTTCTTTTAGCAGTCCATGGTACTTTCAGCATTCTTTGCCAACACCACAGCTCAAAAGCATCAATTCTTTTTCAGTCTTCCTTATTCATTGTCCAGCTCTTACATGCATATGAGGCAACTGAAAATACCATGGCTTGTGTCAGGTGCACCTTAGTTGTCAAGGAGACATCTTTGCTCTTCAGCACCTGAAAGAGGTCTTTTGGAGCCAATTTGCCCAATGCTATACGTCATCTGATGTCTTGACTGCTGCTTCCATTGGCATCAATTGTAGAACCAAGCAGTGTGAAGGCTTTGACAATTTCAATCTTTTCTCCATTTATCATAATGCTGCTTATAGGTCCAGTTGTGAGGATTTTTGTTTTCTTTATATTGAGATGTAACCCACTAGCCACTCCTCGGAAGGAAGGTTGGGCAATCTACTTCTGTAGTGATATCACCTCAGAAACCCAAGGAGGGGTCGCTTTGAGTCGGATCTGACCTGGCAGCAGGGCGTTTTTTTGTTTGTTTGTTTGTTTTTTAATCCATACTGCAGACTGTATTTTTCAATCTTCATCAGTAAGTATTTCAAGTCATCCTCTCTTTCAACAAGCAAAGTTGTGTCATCAGTGTATCACAGGTTGTTAATGATTCTTCCTCCAATCCTGAGGCCATGTTTTTCTTCATATAGTCCAGCTTCTTGGATTATTTGCTCAGCGTACAGATTGAATAAGTATGGTGAAAGAATACAACCCAGGCTCACTCCCTTCTTGATTTTAAACCATGCAGTGTTCCCTTTTTCTGTTTGAACAACAGACTCCTGGTCTATGTACAGGTTCTTCATGAGTACAATTAACTGTTCTGGAATTCCCATTCTTCTCAATGTTATCCACAATTTGTTATGATCCACACAATCAAATTCTCTTGCATAGTCAATAAAACACAAGTAAACATCTTTCTGGTATTCTTTGCTTTGAGCCAAGATCCATCTGACATCAGCAATGATAGCCCTCA